TAAAGCCCCTCTAGATAAGATTCTTGGTGAGGGTATTTATGCTAACCCACAGGCTCAGGCTGAATATGATGACCATATACTGTATGCAGGAAAGCAGCATTAAACACCTGGGATAAGGTTCATGAGAACACCTAGAAGCTTATATCAGAATAGAACAGGGACCTACAGAACAGTTCCAGTACTTCTTACAAAGGTTAACTAGGGCAGTAGAATTACAGGTAACAGATCCAAAAACAAGACAGTCAAGGCACAAGAAATGCTTAGAAATAGTGGTGGGCATTTAGGTAAATTGCTGAAACTTTAGTCTTAAATCCTTTGTTTAAAAGAATAGGGCAGAGGAGCGCATAAAACAATGTCCCATGTGAAATAAATGAGATGTCCCATGTGAAAAATGTTCTATAACTCTAATCACAGTGCAAGCTCTTAAGCTACCCCATTCACCGTAAGTTCACTGTACTCCTGGTAAAATATCTGGGCCAGTATCCACAGTGTGCTGACTTGTCACTGCTAGTAGGATACACTCTGGCTAGAAAGAGTGGCCATTTGGTCCTGGTCTCGGGGCATCACCTGAGAGAGAACTTGTTAAAATACAAGAAGGTTCTTAGGTCCACTCAATCTACAGAATGAGAATCTGTGTTTGCCCAGATCCAGGGGTGATTGGTGAACATATTAAGCAGTGGTGTTCTAGGCCCTGCACATGCCTTTCTCACCAAAAGAATTGCAGACTTTCTAAGAGTTCCCTGGTTTGTTCCCAAGCTGGTTTGTACAATGGTTCCTATTATCATAATTATGAAACTCAATTAGGTAAGCCCACCCAAATCACAAAAGCAGAGTTATTGTTTCTATTAAGACCAAGTCAAGAGGGTGGAGAGATGGCTCAGCAGTTAAGAGCACTTGGATGCTCTTCCAGAGGACATGGATTCAGTTAGCCAAAACGCATACAGCCCCTCACAACTGTTCTGTAACTGCAGTTCCAGGGGATCAGACGCCCTCTTCTGGTCTATGTGGGCACTGACTATGTGTGGTACATACACATGCAGGCAAGCCCTCATACACATTAATAAAAATAAAAATATTTCAAACAGTTTCATGTTGTAACTATATGATCACAGTGATTTGCTGAAAAGACTCATTTATTATTAGAATTCAATCTGGGGAGACTTCCAGGGAAGTTCTGATATCTTGAATTTGTTTTGTTTTGTTTTGTTTTTAGACAGTCTCTCTAAGTAGTCATAGCTGTTCTGGAACTTGCTGTGCAGACCAGGGTGGCCTTGAACTCAGAGGTCTGAATGCCTCTGCCTCCAGAGTTCTGGGATTAAAGGAACACACTACCACACCCACCTTAATACCTGGGGTTCTGCCTGCTGGGGTACTCTGTAGGTAGGCAGTCCCTGGTGACAGATTGGGGCAGCATACATACTCTTACTATTTAACCCTGTCAGCCCTGTAGCTCCTTTGTGTATCCATAGCATTATCAAACTATTCCAGGTCTAATTGGTGTGCTCTTCAGTCCTTCACTGACACTTGTGTGCTTATGAAAAGACTGTTTCTTCTCAGGGATCTTCTGCCTCTATAGGGGAAGCTGTTGCTGTTTCTAGTTTATAAAAACAGCCAAGGATTTGGTCAGTTATTAATAAGAAGCAGGACAGGTCTTAAAGGTAGATCTAACAGCCTGCAGGTGCTAGGCTCACAGCCATTACCCTATTCTTTGAGTCTCAAGAAAGCACAGATGGTACAAAAACATTTGAGAAATGTATATTCTTGCCAGAAATTAAAGAATGTAAAGCCTAGCAGTCATGGAGCATTTCTCTTCATATCTAGTTTGCAAGGGTTTTCTTCTTCTTTTCTTCTTCTTCTCCTCCTCCTCCTCTTCCTTCTCCTCCTCCTCCTCCTTCTGCTATTTAACTTGAATTACATAAAATAATACATATTCATGGTTGAAAGCATCAGAGTGCAGCTAGGTTTAGCTCCACATACTTGTAATCCCAGCCCAGCAGGATCAGATTTTCAGGACCAGCCTTCACTATGTGAACCTCTATCTCAAAACACTAAGAGGTTGGGGAGATGAATCAGTCACTAACATGATTGCCTCACAAACATGAGGACCTAAACTGGATCCCCCGCATCCATTTGACAACAAGCACCTTTAATGCCATCATTGAGGAGGATCCTAAGGGCACTCTGGCCAGCTAACTGGTGAGTTCTAGGCCAATGAGAGACCCCTTCTCAAAAGAAGTGGATTGCATTCCTAAGGATGACTCCTGAGGTCATCTTCTGGTTTCCACACTCATGTGTGCACATACACCCACACACACACACAATTAAAACAAGTGGCCTGGAGAGATGGCCCGGTCTATAAAGTGTTTGCTGTGCAAACATGGGGTTTAGATTTCTAGCACCAACACAAAAAGCCACGCATAGTCGCATATGCCTATGATTCCAGAACTGGGGTAGGGATAGGAGACAGGAAGATCCTTCCAGCTAGCCAACCTATGATCTCTATGCACACATGAGCATGTACCCACACACATGAACATGTACCTATGTATAAGCACACACATGCAATTTATATAGTATATTATTTAAATAAATTTTTATTTATTTAATTTATATGAGTATTTGGTCTGATTCCCACAGGTGTCAGAAGAGGACACTGGATCACTTGGAATTGTAGTTATGGGTAGTTATGAACCACCATGTGGGTGCTGGCAACCAAGCAAAAAATGGTATTACCCTATGTGAGTCATCCCTATCTATACACACATACACACACACGCGCGCGCGCGCGCGTGTGTGTGTGTGTGTGTGTTGGTGGGGGTTTTTGTAGCCCCCCCTGCTTAGGGGCTGGCTACAGGTGTGCCTGACCACGCCTGTGAGGACGTGGTCAGGGTGACATAGAGTGAGGGACGCTTACTTGGTGGGCTGCTTTCACTGTCATCTTTGGCTTGCTGTACAGACTGCTGCCCCACCAGCTGGCTAGGTTTCTCTGTAAGTCAGGCTTTACCCTATTAAATTCCCTTGTATTTTTACCTGGCTCTGTATTGGTAATTTCCCACATTATCTGATTGTCAGGAGTGGGGTATTGTAAACCTAGGCCCCATTTGGGAGAGCCTGTGGTTCCCACCAGGACATCGGCCTAGGCTGGGAAAGCGCCCTCTCTCCACAGGTGCTCCTGGCTCACAGCTAACCTGCTGCACCACAAGCCCATCCCCGCTGCCGCTGAGCCTCTCAGAACCATCTGCCCAGCTGGGAGACTTCCACAGACCTCCCCACGGTTATGGTCGCAGTTTCTAGCTGCATGCACAGGACCGGCTCAGACTGCAGCCTACCCGCGCCCTGAGGCCTCCTGCCCTAGAGCCGAGTAGGCCTCGGCTTTCAGCAGGGTCTGAGCAGTGGCCTTAAAACCATGCCTCATTTAGTGGTTGTGGCCACAAGGCCATACACTCTCTAAGCTAAGCACAGCTGCCTTTGTGACCTCTCTCCACCGCTGCCACCAAATGCTGCACAGACTAACTGAATGCCTGCACCACCTGCTGGTAAAAAGTAGAAATCAGTTAAAATCATGGCAGAATATTTATCATTTGCTAAAATTGGTAATATTTTTGCTTATTATGTGAATTCAATGTTTGAGGAGGATGCTAATCTGCCAATTACCTGCCTATATGCAGTAATGGCAGTTAGCTTGCTGGTCCAAATAACATTCCTAGTCAGAGGCATCAGGAACAGGGACAAAGATAACCTCACCACCTGCTTGCAGGAAATAACAGCTTTACACAATGAGGTTTTGGAGAACAGATTAGGTCAGACCACAATTGTGCAGCAAGTGGAACAGAAATTGGATGATAAGCTTGGCTCTGTGTCCAATACACTAAAGACAGAGTTGTCTGTTACCCAAGATGAGTTGCAACATATTTATGATAAGATAAACACAGAGAGATCCTCCAGGTCTGAGGCATTAGAGGATAGGCTGTCAGAAGACCATGACGAGCTAAAGAATATCTGTAGCCAGCTAGAAACTCAGATAGGCAATGTTACTCA